GGAGGGAGTGGGAATATCTGAGGGCAGCAGGATGGGATGGAGGGAGTGGGATCCCCCAAAGAAACAGTCCCTAAAATGAACCCTGAATTGTGCATCTGCTGCTCTTACAACTGAGAATAAAACTCAACTTTATAAGTCAATGTTACAAGGTTTTGACCCACATTCAGCAGTGCTGAGCTCCTTTTGGGATAATCATGGAACATACAACTGAAATAATTCCAATAACCAGGGTTATATTTTGTTATGAGGAGAAATAGGTGCTTGTGCAGTGACATATGAGCCATCAGGAACTACCTGCTGTGGAGGGTTTTATTTATTCGCTCTCATATTAAACAAATAAAGGGTAATAGCTTGGGTGTAGATCTTGGATCTGCATTTCTGATAGACCCAATCCAGCCCCTGAGCTCACATCCCTCAAATCTTTGGTGATTTCTGTTAATTTGAAACCTGGGTCCAGGATTTTCCAACACTAGGCCAAAAATCTGGTACTTTTACAGAAAATACAAATAGGGATCACTAATAATTGTGAAATACTGTCAGAGTATGGTGTCAGTAAATACCAAATCTTGCTCACCCTGTTACAATATTCCTGTAACTGGAAACTACCAGAAGTTTCTGAACACCACAAAAATTTGTCTGCTTTCCCACCTAGACATTTCTTTTTTGGCTTTTTATCTTCCCTTTTTTTATTTTTTTCACAAGCTGCCTGCTATTGTCCCATCTCACTCCTCCTTGCCTGGGCAAGCCCAGGTGCTGTTTTGGGATGGATCCCATCTGGAACAGGGCTCAGACCCGCGTGTAAAACCCGTTCTGCAACGTTCCCTCCGTTAGGAAAACAAGAGTTCTGCTGTGCAGCAGTGGGGCAGCCCTGAGCTCTGCAGCCAGCAGGGCAGGAGAAGAAAGATGGGAACAGGACCAGCTTCCAGGAGGAGCCTTGTGAGGCCAACCCGAGGTCCCTCCTGCCCAACTGGGCATGACTTCCCCCTGAGTCAGCACCGATTGATCTCTCCAGGTTAAATCCCTCTTCCCTAAGTTTGTGTTCCCACATCTCCCTGTGTTAATTCTCACACTGCTGAAGACGTTGAGAGAAGCTCGAAACCAAACAAAGCCCAGTTCCACTTGGTCTGGTCTGAATTACAGTCAGACCCCGCTCTTAACTGTCTAATTAAACATTCCTGAGTGAATAACCCGCGTTGCCGTCAGCGCTGTTCCCACAACTTTCATTTCAAACGACTCCATGCATCGGTTTCTCGTGGAGCAATCCACTGCCCGGGGCTGTGGCTGCTGGAAAGCAGAGGAGAGGTGCCCAGGCTGCCAGGGAATGTACAACAGGCACGAGAGACGTGGTGTGATATGGCCCATGAGGAGGGGTAAGGTGAGGGCTGTACTGGCTGCTTCTGGTTCCATTCAATAGCAACTCCATAGAACCATTTTTATAATTTATTTTTTTTTCCTTATCCCTAGATCATCACAATTCCTTCATCACCTGGCTGATAACGCCACCTCATCATTCTTAAGCATTTGGCTCCTCTCCATTTTGCATGAAGTCATGTAGGACACATATTCCTGGTCTCATACAAAAAAAAAAAAACCACATAAATTTGTCTGTAAAAAGCATCTGAAATATCCCAAGCGGGAAGATAATTTGTTTGCTTTTTAACAAAGCTTCCCAGAAGTTCTTACAAAGACTGGATTTATTAGTCTAACTTTTATAGTGCTATTTATCGACGTGGGGATCAACACTGATAGAAGCTAAGAATGGTCTCTGGGAAGGAAAGAAGTAGAATCATGGAATGGTTTGGCTTGGAAGGGACCTCGAAGATCATCTTGTTCCAACTCCGTGCCATGGGCAGGGACACCTTCCACTAGCCCAGGTTGCTCCAAGCCCCATCCAACCTGGCCTTGGACACTTCCAGGGATGGGGCAGCCACAGCTTCTCCATAAAACCCGTGCCAGGACATGCCTCAACAGTTCCATGTCCTTATGCTGGGGGCACCAGAACTGGACACAGTATTCCAGGTCACAGGAGAGAGCGGAAGGGGAGAGTCACCTCCCTCAATTAGAGGCTTTACGTTCTGCTCCCCACCGTGCAGTGATGCAAACCCCACAGAGATCCTGACTCAGTGTTACCCTGCAAGAGTAAACATGGCAGCGTTCACAGAGGAAGTAAATCTGAAAGGAAAATGAGTTTAAAAAAAAAACCCCACAGAAATCATAGATCACTGGGCCAGAAAAAACACCTCCATGAGCAGCAGCACTGCCAGGAATAACAGCAGGGCAGTGACTGGGGAGCTCAGGGGGAAAGAGTTGTGTGAGTCAAGATGGGAAATGAGATGACAGACGTCATCTACCCCCACTGTGTGCATGGAACAGAAAAAGCTGCTTGAAAGGTACGTCAGTGGCAGCAAAATTAAGAGTGTCTGTGGGGAACTGGAATGATAGATGGGAGCTGGAGCACCAGGGGCTTCTGCTGAAGGTACCACCCCAACTTAGCACCATGCCCTGCGAGGAATCGTCATCTCGAGCCACTGCAGTTGAAAGGAGATGAATCAAACAATTCTGAAGCAGCCAATGTTTGTGTCACACAGAGTTTTACACATTAAATCATGCCCATCTACCACCCTTGATGTACAAGACACTGCAGGAACCTGACACCTCAGTGTCCTGCTTGCATGCAAGGACAGAAGGGCACTTGCCACCCCATTCCCAGCAACGCACAGTGTTTTGTCGGGGAGCCCAAGCCTCTGGATGAGTTAGAGTGAAAATAATCTAGTATCAACATCTGTAATTTTGCCACATGAAAGCTGATAGGGCGACAGAGCAAGGAATTGATATGATCAAAAAACCTACAGTAGCTGAGCTTCCTGCCCCAACCCCATCGTGACCTGTGGTCTGAAAACCTCTCTGGACCCCAAAAGATGGTGTGTGGAAGCTTTGGTCACGTCAGCTGGGCAGCCAGTTGTGAGAAATGGCCCCCACAGTGCAGAACATTTGCTGTGAGCACATCCCAAATCATTTCCATATGTTACTTTGAAGAAGAAAATGACTGGTAAGACTCAAAAGAGAGGAACCAAGAGCCAAGGAAAAAAAAAAAAATGCCCTCAAGTGCCCAGATCTTGAAGATAGACCAGTCTGGGGAATCCATTTCCATGTGCCAGACGTGCCTGCTGCAACGCAGCCCGGCAGACACCCAGCAGTGCTTCCCAGCTGGAAGGATCCCAACACCCAGGGGGCAACATTGGGAACATTCTACCTCCTGAGTCAGTGCTGAAGAGCTCACTGTGAGGGAGGAGTGTCATCCTTGCCTGAGCTGTGTCACACAGCTCTCCTGTGTTTGCTTAACAGTGGGCTCAATGACGTTTGGAAAAGGCCACTGATTAAACCCTGACACTGATAAGGGTGCCCTTCCTGCCACCCAACCGTGCTGAACTTGAACTCAGCCTTCTCTCTTCTCACCTCAGGAGTTGTGTCTAAGCCAGCGATTAACCTGCAACTCAACAGCAGGGGGGCAAGAACTTTCAGAGCACTCTCCTGGCAATATTCGTTGGGAACTCCTTGCTTAGGTGTCTGTGCACAGACAGACACCTCTCTCCCCCTCCTCAGCTCCAAGTGAGGACAGGGATTAGCACAGTGGGAAGCAGTTCAGGTCAGGGTTAGGTTGCTCCACAAGATCTGGGAGACAGAAGACAGCATCTGAAGCAGCACAAAAAAAAAAAAAAAAAAAAAGCCCCTGCGAGGTTCATGTCTCCAGAGAGAGGGAAGATCAGGTCTGTCCCTCCTGCAGTTTGGATGGGAACAGTCTTTGTTCTGCCTCGTTAACTTTATACAACCCCTGGGCAGCTTCAGCAGTTCATGAACTGCCCAAGCATCTGCAAATGTGATTCTTGACTTTGGGATCTCTCTGACGCAAACCAAGTTAAAGAGCAATGAGATAGTGTGCAGCTACTGTTGACTTCTTTTCCGGGAATGCATGTGAAATCCTACCAGTGTTTCTTTTGTAACAGAATGTAAATACCCCCACTGAAAAGAACCCTCAGTTCCCGTGCTTTTAACACAGTCTGGGGAGAGCTCCCTCTCTGAGCATCATCTGTGACACAGTTCCCTTGCAAGATAAAGGCACATGAAAGCATTCAAAACAGTCAGTTTGGCTTGTGTGCTTTTCCCTGAAAGCAGGTGGCAAAGTAAACACATGGGTCAGATCCACTCTCCTTGGTCTGGACTGACATCCAAACAATGTCTGGACCGACTTCTGACAAACTGGCTACAGAATCGAGCCATTTCTGATGCAAGCTGCTGCCTCCCTCCCCCCAAGATAATAGGACATTTTCCCAGATGGAAGGAACCCACTTGAAAAACAAAAGGTCTTTGAAATGTCAGCTCAGGCTTGCTTGGCCTGCGCTGTGTGCCCACAGGAATAAGATAGAGCCTTTCTTCATCCTCCAGCTGTAACACTTACATCTGAAGCAGCAAGAAGATTGAGACACGTAGCTCCAGTTTCCTTCTCTGCTACTGATTTCCAGCCTCTCCGGTGCCAGTCACTTAGCCTTGCTCCATCTCCAGTAACGGGGATCAGTAATTGAATTGCTTGAACAAGCTTTGGGCCACTCACAGGAGAGCTGATCCAGTGTGGTTTGCAAACGAGGTCGGGAAGCTGCATCCATATGAACCTGGAGGATATGGATGGACACCACAGTCCCACGGACACGTAGATGACTACCTGCATTCTCTGAACAAGAACCAAGTTGTTCCTGCTATGAACCCATGTAACTTTTTGTGACATTTCTCCAAACCCCTCCTTGCATCCTCTAACACGAGAGAGGAGAAAGTCCCCCCAGGACATGAATGCTTTGTGTGAGGAGCTTGGGCAGTGAGTTGTCCCTCCACAGCTGCTCCTTGGTCTGGTCACACCAGGCTGTGCAGGAATCCAATGTTCCTCTGTCTGTCAGGACCTCCTGGTGCTCCCAGTCTCCCCCCTGCAAAGTTACTTGTTCTGAGCAATCACGTCAGAACATTTTTTGATCTTTGAATAATTACAGAGGAATTACACTTAGTACTGTACCCAAGAGTTAAAAGGAAGGCAAAAATTTCTCTCTCCCCTTTACAGTTTTAACCCCTTTGCTCCCTGTGGTACAGGTCTTGTGATTCTCAGCTGAAAACGCTCCAAGACTTCAGTTTGCAGCCCAAAGAGACAGGAAGACAACCCCCCTCAGTGTGTTCCCCTCCTGCGAGCAGCGTCTTGAGCCCCTGAGATAATCCATGACCAGGGCAAGTGTGAGGTCCTAATGCTACTTAGGGAAATGGAGTATTTGCCAGAGCCAAGATAAGGAGCATTAATCCAACTCACAAGGAAATGTAGCATTAGGTTGCAAGCTCTCCCCTGACCTTGTTGAGCACATCTGAAAGGGTTGCTCAAACACAGCTCCCTCCATGGCAGGATCTGAGACAGGGCTGGAATCTAAAACCAGAAGGAAAAAACTACCAGAAGCAAAGCCCTCAGAACCTTGGTGACATCCAGACCGGCTGTGGACTCTGCCAGGACTGCTCCTGTCCTTCCCTGATCCCGGTGGTGTCAGTGCCAGTACGTGGCTCTCAAGGTCTCCATGAATCTTTCCCAATTTCTGTACCTCAAACAGAGTGTGACCAGACTTCTTGTGTGCACATGGCACACACACCTCCCCTGTGCACCCCTACCCCTCCCCACACCAAGCAACTTTCTGTCCAGACAATTTAGCAAGACAAGCCAGTCTGA